TAGGTTTTCTTCGTAGTAGTGGTAGATGTAAAAGTTTGTCCTTAATGATTAGTGTTAAACAGCGAAGTTGTAAAATAAAATTCTTTCGGACGATGCTTCAAAAACTTAAAATAAGAATTTATTTTAACTTGTGCCCACGAAAAGAAAGACCCCTCACAAAATCTGAGGTACTCTAGCCAACCATAAAAGACTTTTAGTTTATATTAGATAACATACAAATAAGCTAAAATTATTTTTTAAAAAAATAATTATTTTTCATAAAAAAAACAAAACCTAAGTTACTCCACTCATTTACGGCTCTGTTATACCGCGTTACGTTGTAGTTCTTCTGGGTGAAGTCCTTGCTTTCATCATTCTCGCAGAGCCAAAGTTTTGGCTTTTCCAAATTATGAAATGAAAGCAATGACCCAGTTTCGTGTTCAAAAGTAGCGTGGGGAGCACCTTGGCCGGCTGTGCTTCCAATTGACTGCACACACAAAACCCAAAAAGGAGAGGAAAGTGGAACTGAAGAAGGCGACATAAGCTTAAAATTTGGGGAACTGGTTACTTATCGTCCTGCTCTCTTCTCCATCTAGAAGAAATGAGGAGTGAAGTTCAAGCGTTCTAGTCTGTTATCAATGGGGTAAGTGAAGCTCATATAAGTGTTATGTGTTGTTTTTTTATTTAGTCTTAGCATCTTTTAGCCTATTCAATTTAGTAAAAAATGAATTGTTTTTAGGTTGTAGAATTATGGTAATAGACAGGACTGATTCATGCGTAGGGGCTAACATTTTTGTGACAGTGAATATTATGTGTTTGTTTGTGAAAATGTTTCAATGGAGCATTGCAATGAAAAATCACGGCACCTCAATTATTTTGACAAAGATGCTACATTCATATTCATCAATTCCATGGATTTTTTTTTTAATTTTAAGTTACATAATAAGATGCAATCCTTTCTTACAAAAAATTTACTGCTAAATTATTTAGGCAGTTGAGTTCTCAATTCCAACGTTTTTCCAGCTTGATTCAAGTTCCTTCTTTTTTCTTTTTCCTTCTTTTTTCTCTGTTCACAACCGCAATATTTTTTCTAATTTGGTTGCATACTCTTTTCCTTTAGTTGAAGACTTGTACTAAAAGTTTCCTGGATATCTGTTGTAGATATATCATCTAGATTCTAGTCTCTAGCCCCTGTCAAAATATTCTTGGTTTCAATTCTTTTTGTGCTAACATAACCACGTAGGGCGAATTTCCTAGAAGCTTTTTTTTTTGGGTACATGAATCTCCTAGAAGTTTTGTTACACATCAAAATGGTTCAAAAGAGTCCAACGTATATGATTATTAAACTGTTTAGACTTCCTTCTTTAAGATACTAACTAAAATCATGTGTGTTTTTTCTTTTTTTTTTTTTTGGCTCTT